AAGGTATTGAAATTTTCTCAGTATTCGATTTGAATTCGATAGATCGCCAGAATGCACAGAGCCTTATAAAAAATATTTTAATAAATTTAAAAAAAAAGTGATTAAGATGGAATTGACAAAATAAATTAGTGATTTGAGTCTATATTTATTATGTTGTACTACAAGATTGGAAAAAATAAAAAACCTGGATTACGACTGTGATAACACAACATATATACGTGCATACGCATGCTTGCACTTGTGTGAAACTTGTGAAACAGAAGTACTGCTTACATTTATAGATTTGTCATGACAGTGTTTAATAAACATAAACTTTGACACGTTTACATTACATTTTCATGGATTACTTGTGTCCTTTAAGCTTTTTAAAAGCGTAAGCTATATATATGTTACCGGCAAATTATGAAATTCAGGCATTCTATAGAATGCCGGGCTGTTTTAGGCAAAGTATGAAATACTAGATTCTTTCAACACTTTGCCTAGGCATTCTATGAAACGCCTAGGCATTCAATAGAATGCCTAAGAGGTATCCGGCAAAGTAATCATTAAGGATAATCTGTTAATAGTAAATTTATTTGAGGCTCGGAATTTGCATTTGCATCGAAAAAATGCATTTATTCTAATTACAAAACTATTTACAGACGATCTATTTAAATTAATATGGTTAAAAAAAACTTATTTGTTACAACACGATAAACTCTTATGACATCGCGAATTACACAGTCTGTTATTTTTAAAACATATACATTTTTTTGTCGTACACCGCGATTTGCAAGAAGACTTTTATTTTTCATAAACTGAACGAATTTTAGTCCAGTACTCCATCGAGTACATTTATTCTCTTGCATCCAAGTCGTTAAGATATTTTGTATATCTTGATTGGCGCGCTCGACACTTCCTTAGCTCTGACTATGTCGGGGCTTACCGTGAATAATATTTAAGCCAGGCCATACGACCTATAACAATAACAATAACATAATGACAATCGTACAACATAATAGGAAGAAGTGTTTATTTTTGTACTATCTTTATTTACATTTAGTTCATCAATAATTTTGTTTACGAATTCGCGTTTGTTGTCGCTTTGCAGAATACAGGGAGCTCCAAAGAGAAGGAATATATCTAAAACCTGTGATGCAACCTCCTCGGCCGTTTTCGTTTTAAGTGCACGTAAAACAACAAATTTCGTCATGTGGTCTTGATAGACGAAAATAAACTTACATTCGCCGTCAGGCTGAGACTGAAAATCAATCAAATCTATTTGGCATCTGGAGTTAAAATGGTGTGAAATTATTGGTTTCACCACAATTCCCTTCTTGATTCCCTTTTTTTTCTGTTGACATGGTTCACACAAATTCAAAAATAATTCAATTTGATTACGTGTTATGTTCTTATACTTTTTACTTATTTCATAGATCATTTGATCTCGTCCGCCGTGTCCGATTGACGAATGACCATCATACAGTACGTCAAATAAATCTTCCATGGCACAATAATACTTAATATCAGCATTCGCTTCACTAATTGGCAAAATTAACTTTTCGCGTCCTTCAACGTTTAGAACATCGTAGTGTTGCAGCAACCAATAATGTCGTGAAAATTTACCAGTCTCTTTGCACTTTTCTTCTTTAACTTCTTTTATTAGATCTAAGATTTTCACATTACTTAGTATAACGGAATTCGATTTGCTGTCTACTGATTTCAGTTTATTCTCAAAACGCTGCCTCATGATTTCTTTCGCTTCCTGAGCCATTTCTAAGCCAGTCCTCAAACTACGACCGTGTACGTCAAAAGTAAACAGCAAACTGAGAAGTAATTTGCTAATCAACGAGTATTTGTTGATAATTTCATACTTTGCCGGGTATCTCTTAGGCATTCTATATAGAATGCCTAGGCAAAGTGTGAAATATAGACTTATTTTATACTTTACCTAACTCTGTTAGGCATTCTATAGAATGCCTGATTATACACTTTGCCGGTAACATATACACATATATTTCTTCTCTTACTTTGATATAAAAATTATTTTTTAACAAAGTAAAAACAACTACGTTGAATAAAAAATTTTAATATAATCTGGTTTCAGTGTGTAGCATAGTAATTTTTATAATATGGTGAGTATACCTCAGCTGTCCTACACAATATATAAATTTTTATTATAGTTGTAACACTTTTTCGAACATCACTTTTCTCAGCGTCAGAGGAAAAAGTTTTGAATACGGATTTAAATGAGGGAGACACCCTTTTTCCGCCATTTACATGTTAAAATTATATCTATATATGTGATAGCTATAGATATAATTTTAATACGTAAATCGCAGAAAAAAGGTTTCACCTTCACTAAAACCCACTTTCAAAAGTTTTTCCTTAGTACATGACACTACGAATAAAATTAGCCCTGTATCTTAGATGAACCTCAAAATAATTTTTTTTATTAAAAGGGGGAGGGACAGAAACAGGCTATTTTTTGTGGACTCACTCATATACATACGGTGATTAACCGCACGTCCGTACATATATATGTATGTTTCATCCGCCTCCTCTTGGATCGATCGTCCTATTGCACATGGGTATACTTAAAATACGCAACGGTGCACTGGCGACAGAGGCGCGGTCGTCTGCGTTGCCGATTATAGGCATTCGTCCCCAAACTCCTTTACCTACACGTATTATCTATATATACCTTTGCTTCGCGATTGACTCTCACATGGTTTGTACATGTACGTTGTATGTATCTATATATACAACTGTAGCTTTTCCTTGCTGTGTGCCTCTCTCCTCTCAGTTTTGAGAGCGAATGTAACGTCGTTGGATACATATACCTACAACTCTACTTATATGTGAAGATAAGGCAACGTTTACTGTTGCACATCCCTGTTTATATAGCTGCAGCTTCTGCATCGCCCGTGAGATTTCTCTTTTCTTGGGTGCTCCTGATTGCCCCGCAAGTATTAAGGTACATGATCTCTTCAACATCTCTCTCTCTCTCTCTCTCTCTCTCTCTCTTTCTTTTAAAAGCAACTTCAACAGCAACAGCTCGTAACAGTAGGTAGTGGTGAGTTATTTTCTTTTATTTACTTTTTTTTTTTCGCTGCTGGGTGCCGTTTGCGGTACACTCGATTTCCTCTAGAAAGCGCACGGAGACCTTTGTCCCCCTCAACCCCCCTCCCCAACACTATCCTGTTTAATTCACATTGTGTAATGCGCCAAAGGTCGCTAATGACATTTAATTCTCGCTTTATCTGCTAGCGTTTGGTGGTCCATTGATAGAAAGTTTTCTCGATATATAAATTTTACATTGGATTCAGCGACTATCCAATTACATTAGGAAGCAAGAGTGAGAACGCTACCGCAATTGGGTGAGGAAAGCGAGAGAAAATCCGATTGTTTTGAAAAATCAAAAAATCGTAGAGTGCTAGCTGTTGGAACGAGACGAAACAATTAACTTGGACCGAAATCTTCTGAGAAAAGTGGCTACAACAACGGCATTTCGAGCGACAATTTTCGCTTTGGAATTCGTCAACTTTACTCCCTCCCTGCCGTTAATTCAGGCAGGAGGAGAGGAGTGCGAGAAAACGGTCGAAAAATCAAAAACCATCTTCTTTAGAGCTAACAGAGAAGGTGTATTGGTAAGTAAACACGTGTGATACGTGCTTGAGTAGGTAAGTGAAAAATTCCTCAGCCGCAGATAGTCGCAGTCATCATTTCTATACATTCGGGAAGAGTAGGCTCGAGGAAGAAAGGAAGAAAGAATCACAGTAACGATGACTCGTTTCAAGTACGAGCGAATTTTCATACTTGTAACATACATGTATTGCACACAACTACGTATGCGTGCACTGCAGGCTTTTCCCGATCGGAAATCGTACCGTGACCGTAACGGGGGCCTAGCTAGGCGTAATGCTCTACTAGCTAGGCCTCCGTTACAGCCAAGGTACGATTTCCGATCGGGTTTTCTTTGTATTCCAATTTTTAAATAGCGCCACCTGTATGAGAAAAGACGAAGTACTACCTATCGTAATTTACTAGGTGCTTATTGCCTTTTTCAAGGATATTTTTTTTCACGTTATGGTATCTTTGACTAATAAAATCGGTTGTCAATTATTTCTGTTAAAAAACCGTAGGAAAATATGTACTTTGTAAATAAGTATTGACTTTCTTTACCATTGGTAGCAATGCGAATACCCTGCATCTCAACCTCCTGCGTCAACACATATACTTCATAAATAAGTGTATGTAGCTACATATTCACTGTGCAAATGCAGGGACAGAGGGCCTTAGGCACCATTGCATCCTTCTCCTCCTTCTTGCATACCAAGCAGCAAGAGCAAGTGAAGCATACCCTTCCAGTTTTCCCTCCTTTTTTCCTGATACATACTCCGACTACTCCAATTTCTCATCTTGCTTCCTCTGCAGTAGCACTAGCAGCTGTGCAACACTCGCATTGCCTCGCTCGCTTGGCTATTACGTACTGTTTTCTTTTTTTCCCTCTCTTTGGTTTCTCTCTCTCTCACACACACACACATACTAACTCACTTTGTGTAGTATAGCGCTTACTGCAGCAGTAAGTACACCGTGCATCGGAGCCACGGGTAGAGTATAAGAGTAGCTGTGCCCCCATGGCATATTCGCTACGTGCACAATTTTGAAGCAGCGCCAATCAAGGAAAAACGAGCACTATTGGCCTCGCATAGCAGGAGGCAATATTCGCGATACATGCTACATATACAACGTTTGTTTTCGTTTTCGAAGTCAGAGCTTCTGCATCTTTGGAGGTTACACCAGCTAGTAGCTCTAAAAGGTACACAGTATAAGATATATTTCATTGCATTTTAATCAAGATGTTTCAATAAACATGCATAAATAAAATGTGTATTTATTACTCATAATTTTAGTAAAAATGCAATCCTTAGAAATATTGTAGATGTATAAAAACACAATTTTTTTATGTTAGTAATGCTTAGCAGTCTGCTAGCAGAAGACAAATATATCGTTTAGTTTCACATATTATCACAGGTATTGCTGCGATCGCTTTTTCAGATTGTGCGCGTAGCGAATGGGCTCTCTCCCTCTCTGTACAGTGAGCTCTGCAGGAGGAGACCAAGAGAGTGCTTACCTCGACCAGCTAGCTACGAAGTCAAGGACCGTTCTCAAGGAGGTTGCGGACCAAAGCACGTATACCTATCTATATCCTTAGTATTTACTACACAGTACCTGATGCTATATACGGAGGAGGAGGAGGAGGAGGAAGAGAAGGAAGAGAAGAAAATCTACCTGTAGCGAGTGAGCTCGTAGAGCCCAAGAAAAAAAGGATAACCGAGATAGAGCGAGATGGAAGAGGAAATTGGAAGATAGAGACGCAAAAAGATGGGGAGGAGGGAAGATAGTATTACCTTAGTATTTGTTTATACATTTGAATCAGTACACCTTTACGTGCTTGTATGAAAAAAAAATAATAATAATAATAAACAACGGCAGTGGGAGATAGCCACAGCACCATGTGTTTAAGAAGAGAAATTTTTTGTACATGCATTCCTACTCCTCATAATATTCCGATTCTTTTTTAGTCTTTAGGTACAATTACACAAATTTATACGTATGCTGAGTTTTGATACCTGCAAGCTGGAATTTATGCGTATAAACTTAAAACATAGATGAAAAGGTATACTGAACACGAAAATAGATTTTAAAATCTTGAAATTTTGAGATAGAAGTCACAACGGTAAGTACGATAGACTAGATAGTCAAAAAAATTTTTTTCTTTGGTATGGTATGTTTGGAAAATTAATACAGACGTTGACAAAATCTTCGAAAAAGTTTTGTTACAACATAACCTCCCAAAATTAGAAAAACAGTCGTATCTCGAAAAGGAAGCCAGGTAAGCCAAAAATAATTCCACGTATAGAAAATAACTATTAAGGTGCAAAAATGATTCACACAAATAATCGTAATAATCCTGAAAATAATAAGTCATATCTCAAAGGCAAAGCTACAACCTACATATCCTACCTATAAATTGGTTTATTTTCTGTTCTCTATAATGTATTACAAGAAAAATTGTCACGTGACCAAAACCAATATTCTTTTTATTCATTTTGAGATCAGTAGAAATTAGTTAAGCACGGGTGAATTTTAATATTTAATTTTAAGTTACTATAGAAAACAAATAAAATAAAAAATTACAATTTTAGAATGGAAAATAGCTATATGTCTATTGTTTCCTTAATCTCCATAAGATATTGTGGATTATTTTACTTTTATGGTAGCCAAAATTAAAAAAAATTTTATTTGTCAGATACAAAGATTCTAACAAGAATTTATTGTAGACATATGCTGTCACACCAAATACATGAATATTAATTTTAAATAAAAGGAATGTTTGTCTCGCGTAATCGGACAAAATTACCTTCTTTTCGCGTAGTACAGTAAACAATTTTGTTTCATTCTGCATTACGTGACCAACAATCATAACATAAGTAATGTATTAAGGTATATGTATTCTATCCAGGTGCGAGCTCGAATACGTAATAATATTAAAATTTTGAATACTTTAATATAGGATTCTTAAGGATCTATTAAAATTAGGTATACTCTAATTTTCTTAGTTTTTATTAAACTGAGTTTAATAACATTTGAGTTAGAACTTTCACTTCTGCCAGGGGTCCCGAGATCCACACCTGGTGTGTATGAATCTGGTGATTGTGGGAACATTGAGATTGAGTTTTAATCTGAAAATGTGATAAATAACTGATAATTTTAACGTCATTATATACTTATTCGTTGAATCTACAGAATTACAACAAAAAAAAACTTTTGCCTCCGAAGCAAAGACGTGCATACAACCAACAAAGGACTGCTTTTGTACACGTTGACCAATTGAAAAGTGATCTTCTGACCTTTGACAAGAAAATTGTGTTGGGAAATAAATAATGTTATTATTCTTAAACGAAATTTATACGGCCACACGCAGCAGCAAACAAATGCCCGCTCTCTTGCATACATTAGTGGCGATATCCATTGCGATCCTATCCTCTGCATTATTGTAATTTCTATACAGGCTATTCAAAAGCACAATACAACGTATAACACCAAAGAGAAGAAGAAGAAGAAAAAGAATAAAAAGAAGGAGAAAAATGTTCTGCAGGCATACTTATGCCATCAAACATTAGATCGATTTGAAACATGCCACATGTGCGTCTCGTGGCTTTTTCTTCCAAAAAGCGCACCTCTCATTTGTGAGTTTATATAGCCCATCACACACATACAGCAGTTGCATACGACAGCATGGAAAAATAAAAAGTAAAAAGCTGCTGAAGGTAGAGGAGCACAAAGGCCTTAGTGCACGTTGTACATATATATACATCAGGAGTGATCTAGAAATTGTATAAGGTGGTGCGAGATCCTATTGCGGCATCCCTCTTCTTCTGCAATCATTATTCATAATTATATCATATTTTTTCAAGTAGCAAATCCTATTTTTCTTACCAAGGGAGCAAATAATAATAGAAAATAAAAAAAATGTAAATATTTGTTAAAAATGTTTAATTTAAACAAATAAAAAACACTCAATAGCATTCGGAACTCATCGCGCAAGATATATGCGTGTTTATAAACGCAAAACTGATGATCTAGGTTCGGAAAAAGGAAGAAATCGGGCGGCACACGTACAAATAGAACTATAATAAGTGATGCAATATATTGTGTATCAATCTACAGAAAAAAGCTTAGAGTGCTATGTGGTTTGCGAGGGATCTCTGTTAGTTCGAAAAATATAATTGTATATAATGTAAACCGAATGAAACAGTGGTTCACTAAAAGTTAGTGTTAGATCATCATAATTTTTTTGCCATGCAAAACGTCTGCGCAGATTTCGAGTAGTGAATAAAAAACCAAAAACAAAAGTTATACCACCTATGAACCTCTTCAAATTCGAAGAAATTAGTATTTACCATCTTCACATTTTGCAAAAAAATTACTACATATTTATATTTAGTCATTCTTGAGAAATAAATGTTTAAGATCGCGAAAGAGGAGATTTTCAGAGTTGGGTAGACAAATTCATGCAAAACATATTAAAAATTGTTTGAAGCGTTTGGCAACGCTGTTATAGCTTTCTGAGATCTCCTAAAGTAACCCATATTAATTCCATACGTTTCCAATAATATTTCACCCCACTATAACCCCTCAAATACTTTCAACTTTAAGTATCCAAACAAACAAATGCCGTCGACCTTAAGTAGCCGAAGGGGAGTTTCCATAACGTCATTTGTTACTGTTAGGATACTTAGAGTTGACAGTATTTGGGGGGTTGAAATGGGGTAAAATTTTATTGCAAACCTATAGTGTTAATATGGGTTGCTTTAATAGACCTCAGGAAGCTATAACACCATTGCCAAATGCTTCACACAGTTTTTTATGTCTTGCATAACTTTATTTTCACCGAACTCCCTTTTTTCTGCAATTTTGAACGTCTGTTTTTCAAGAATGACTAAATATGAACGTGTGACAATTTTTTTGGCGTAATGAGGAGATGGTAAATAATAATTTCTTTGAATTTCAATTGGCTTACAGGTGGTACAACTTTTGTTTTCGATTTACTACTCGAAATCTGCGCAGATATTTCGTACGGCAAAAAAATTATAATGTACAAATCGTACATGTACTTTCAGTAAGCCGCTGTTTTGTTCGCTTCACAAGTGGTAAAAAAACGTTGTTTTCACCACTTCATATCTTGGTTCATGCCCATTTGGGGACATAAGTTTACAGTGTATTGGAAGGAGGTATAAGAGAAGAAATGTTCAAGCAATAGGAAAATGAGCCGTGACTAGGTCATTGACTCGACAAATATATAGTGAAATAATCATATCACCTCTTTTATTCTAAGTGTCTTAAAAATATAAAGATATTAGAAATTAGTAACAACCTTGCAGACACATGATAAGTAAGTGCGTAAAGAGCGAGCGCAAAGAGCAAGTATCAGTCGTATTTGTCTACGGCTAAGATCACTAGCACGCCGCACTAATAAGTTTAGTTAGTGGTCGAGAACGGAGCGAATTCAATGACTTTTCCTTCCATTCTTTCATTTTTTTTTATTCTTTAATACATATGCATGATAAGGCGTTATACATGCGTGCACAATGTATTATATGTGAAAGAGTAATTTATATGTATCCTATACAAGTGTAAATACCTCATGAGAGGTAAACACGCTATAATATAAAAAAAAATACATGTATCCCATATGATCAATAACTAAACAGTTATCGAAAAAGTGCTTACGTTATCGATAGTCGTTATAAAGCTCCTCTGCTGCGATGTAGTATTGACTACGAGCACATCTCAGATGGTACCACTAAAAATGCCGCAGTTCAGTACCAAATTTTTCATCATAAAAACATTAGATTTTACGGGAACAGTTCTATTTTAATTAACTACAATTCTATTTTCATGTGGAAATTTATGGAACTTACTTATTACAAGATATTGGAATAGGTTATAGAAAAAAAATCATTCAAGAAAAAACACATCAACAGAAGAACAAGAAAAAAATGGGTTACGAAGCTGATCACTAACCTGAGATGTGCTCGTAGTCAATAAATTGAGTTGTTTTTTTTTCATGTAGTATACGTCCAGATGCATAAAGGTCTACGTACTTAAGACACTCGACACTTTTGAAAAGGACAATGAAAGTGATGGGAGGTCTCACAGTATCAGGGAGGAGGGTATAAGAAAAATAGGCGATTTTGCTGCGAGTAGGTCGCCTAAAACCCTCCTCGAGGAGCATCGCATGGTGAAAAAGCACATGTGAAAATTCACAGAATTACTTGCTCGAAAAGGTCGCACTGGCCGGAAATCGAACCACAGTCTCCCGCGTGCCAATCCATGACCTAGCCGACTGAGCCACTGCATGCTTTAGTGTAGACAAATATAAACTGTGTACAATGTTGTACACGATTATCCCTGCCAAAAATATCAATGCTAAAATCAGTCATACATTACATCGTTGATTGTGTATTGATTCCCTGTTAAAAGTATGTTAATTCAGTGTTGAATCAGAGTTGATTGAAGTTAATAATAGTTATTGACTTGCTTGATCAGCATTGATTCAACATTGAATCAGCATATATTATAATCAACGATGTAATTTTCGACTGATTTCAGCGTTGATTAAGCATTAATATTTTTATTAGGGATAACTGTATGTACTCAGGGTAGCGCAGGGGCTGCGCAGTCGTAGAATGACCTCCATGGA